AATCTTGGTGAGCATTGGATTTTCTACCAAGACAACGATCCCAAACACACCGCACATGTAGTCAGAGATTGGCTGCTTTATTATGCCACCACAATTGTGCCCACCGCCCCAAAGTCCGGACTTGAATATAATAGAACACGTTTGGGATATTCTGGAAAAAAATCCGATAACACGCAATAACTTGTTCAGAAATGCTCAAAGCGAAACTTCAAGAGGAGTGGCGAAATATAACGCCAAATGAAACCGAAAATTTGGTAAATTTAATGCCCAGACGACAGCAAGCAGTTATAGTTGCTCATGGTGGACCAACAAAATATTAATACAATAATATTTTTTACATAATTTTCATAAATTAAATTTTTTATCATTAGTTCATACGTCGTATGTAGACTTCTCTCATCACTTATTTTTTGTTTTTTATGAATATTTTCTTTTTAATTTGATGTAAAGTTAAAGATATTTTTGCTTTTATGAATAAAATGAACTACCAAACAGAACTGCATTGTTACATTTTTTCAAATAGTTGATGGACTTGGAGAACTGAAAAAATATTGCCCGTATGTACACTTTTGTCGGCCACTGTTAGTAATTTCAAATCATATTTAAGGATTATTTTTAAAGACAAATTCAAAAACATTTTAAGGAAATAATATTGCACTATATGCATATGGCCGAATGTGCCCCACTTCAAAATGCCGAATCTACCCCGAAGGTACCTTTTATAGTTTTTTCATTTATTTCTATCACTCTTCTAAAAATATATTTTTAAATATTTTTATAAGAATGCACATTGTAATTAACTACTTTTTAATAATATTGCCTTAAAAATTGAAATGTTTTATACACGAAATACTTACGAAATGGAATGGAAATATTACAAAAACATCTATAAAAATACAAAAAACCGTGCATTTAAATAAGTTTATTAGCTAGAGATATCAAAATTCGTGACAGTTTTTTATTTTGATGTTCGGTACCTATGTATCGAAGGTAGTGTTGTACGGCGAGAGCTTCATATCGAAAACGCGAATGCCGAATGTGCGGTCTCCCGTACTCAGTAACACAGCTGTGAATACTACTCTCTCAATTAACTCTCATTTACTGGACTTTTGGGTAAATGAACAACATTTTGTAATAATTTGTACAAATTAATGAGTAAATGAATGAACCTATTATAAAACCCCATTTTATATATTCGCTAGAACGATTGCGCAAACATGTTTAGAGATTTTAATCGAAATAAAATTATAAAAAACTAAATGACGTTCACCTAGGCTATGTACCTTGAATTAATTATGAAAACTGTTTGACCGGGTGCTTGCCAGGCGCGCCGCTCGTGGGGAGAGTAACGCTTGATCCTGATTTTGTACTATTTGCCAAAACCGCATCCCTCGCAGTTCTACTTCGGTGAGATGATAGGATCAATAAGCTTCCGAACTACTGTGATCACCCGTATTTTTTGTAATAAAAATAATAAATATTTCCCCAGATTTATACCAGACAGAAACAGTAATAACAATCTTCATCTTTTTCAGATGTTATTCAAAACATTTCAATTGCAATTCGAGAATTTCATTTGTAATTCCAAAACTCACTTTGCAATTCATCGGTAATCGGTAATTTACAACATTTTATTTGTATCATAAACTTTTCATATGTGGTTAAAAAAATTAATTCGAAATTTAAAGAATATCATTTGTAGTTCGTATATTTCCATCTGAAATTCGTAGAGTTTAATTTGAAATTCATAGAAATACATTTGAAATTCATAACATTTCACTTGTAATTCATAAAATTTCAGTTGTAATTCGTTTTAAATTGTGTGCTAGCAATAAAATTTTTCGAATTTAAAATTAAATGTTATGAACAAAAAATGAAATGTTATGTATTTCAAATCAATTGCTATGAATTTCAAATGGAATTTTAATAATTTCAAATGAAATTTTATGAACTTCAAATGCAATCCTTTGAATTTTAAATGGAAGTATATGAATTTCAAATGGAATTCTATGAATTTCGAATGAAATTCCTAATTCATACAACTGATATGTTATGAATTGCAAATTGAATTCTCGAATTGTAAATTATATGTTGTGAATTACAAATTGAATTCTCGAATTACATTTGATATGTTTTGAATAACATGTAAGGTGTAGTGCTTGGGGTTTTCTATGTCCATTATGAGCTCTGGGATTACGATCTATGAGCAGAAGGTTGAATCATTGAACAATTAAATCGATGGCTTTAGGATTTGAATGACGCATAAGCATGCAATCCGTTATTTCTCTCATCATTATAAACGACAAATTTTAATGAAAAACCCAAAGCGTGGGCCGATACTAATAACGCATGGTGGAATATACAATCCTCAAACTACTGCAATTTAGCTACCGCAACGGGGCTAACCGTTATATAGGGGGTACCCGAAAAAATGGACCTATATTTATAATTTTTAATGAAGAAATTTGGTACCCAATAAGAATCCATAGTACTAAATTTCAGCGAATTCGGTTCAAAAACGCGCTTAAACCCCAAAATATATATGCCTAAACGTGGATCGATATAACCCATCTTCGAACTTACCAGCAGACAAAAGACAATTCTATGCAAAATTTCAGCACCCTATCTCAATTCCTTCAGAAGATAGGGTGATACAACAGACGGACGGACATGGCTATATCGTCTTCGAATTTTCGTTTTCCCAATGATAGTCTTCCTACTATCCTTCCTGGTTGCAACTGGAACATGTGAGGCCGTGGGCTGAGCTGCTTTCATCACCAAAGGTTTTTTTTGGCTGGCTGCTTTTTCTTCCTCAATCTTATCCTCTTCATTGCCATAGGCATGGATGTGTATTTGATTTAAGTTGGAACAGCTTCCATTTTAGTCCCCGATGCTGCCGCTGACACAACTTCTGTCTTTAGTCTCGTGTTTACCCCATATGTACAGTGCGGGTCCTTTGCCGTCGCCTTTGTAGAGGTCCCGGCAGAGATAGTCACCGTACACGTGAGGTAGGAGCGGATGACATTTTTTTTGTTCTAATCAAAACATCGTATTCGGCCCAGTAGATGCAAAGAGAATCAAGGTTAATATTTTCCAAAATATAATTTTTGGGTCTATTCGCTTGCAAAACGTGCACAAAATACCAAAAAATGGGGCGTATCGTTATATGGGATCTACTCGAAGACATTGGACCAAATTGATAATTTGTTCTTAAAGATTTTCTATCTTATAAAGACCCCATTTAAAATGTGCCCAACTCCACAAAATACAGAAATGTTTGGTGTTATCCTAAAAAGTGGACCAATAGTGATAATTTATACTATGAGACCACTAAATACCACATTCCGGCTAATAAGTTTAAAAAATGTGACTAAAATCCTAAAAATACCGAATATTCGTGGATAGAAATATCTATCTATCTCAAAAATTGTGAAACCCAAATGCTGACCCAAGTAATTTTAATAAATTTGAAAAATGTATTAAACGGGCGGTTACAAATGTAAGGAATTGACTTCTATCTCCCATTAAAAGAAAAAAAATTTTAACATATGTACCTATAAGATGGTATCTCGGGTCTCCATGAATATAGATCAATGTTTTGACGTTGCCGCCATGTAAAGCTCTTTATGATCTTAACCGCATTTACCAACATATACATTAAGGGGTCGGAGAGGTAAAACTCAACTTGACAGAACATTTTGAATATAGGTTTTGATTATGATTAAGTGGTTTAAGTCCATTTTAGATTATGATACAAATCAAAGTTTTCTAGAAAAGTTTACAAAACATTTTACTTTATATATCCTATCATGTTTAGGGGAACAAAGACACAAACAAAATTAATACAAATTAACAATATTTTTGAAATAAATCAAACCCAAACCCACTTTCAAAACAAACGACTCATATAGTACGTTTACATTGTTAAACCCAGTGGGTTTAAATTGTCAATTACTTTGAATATATTTCAAATAAATCCTCACAAAGTAGGTTAGCCCGGAAAAAAGTTCTAATGTAAATGCCCTTATATCCTGTTTGTTTCCCATTTTGAGTACATTGATGATAATATACGGGACACTTAACATCCAGCGTCGATTAAATTTTGTACTCTTTAAATTTTATATTAGATCTCTGCCTTGTAAATAAGTCAAAAATTAAAAAAGAAGCCATTTAATGCAATTAAAATTTCACATTATTTGTTGTTTTGTATTACTAGAAACACTGGGAACTTTATTGTGACGACGAAAACAAAAGAGAAAAAATTAAATAAAATTATTTTTCATTTCAGTTTGGCATAATAAAAAATACAGCTTTGCTTCTCCAATAAAAAATAGGTATTGTTTTTGTTTTACTATAAACTTGCGCATAGAGATTCAGATACAATATGTTATTTAAATTTTTTTCATTTACAATAAATATTTAGGCTTTGAAGTTGTTTTCATTAAAAAATATATATAATAACAAAATTCAAATAGTTATTAAATTTCATATAGGAAAATGCCCTTGTAATACTATTAAGGTTTGTCCAATTATATAAAAAAATTAGATGTTTACTAACAGATATCAACACATATAAGATAAATATTTCTTTACATTATTTTTGTTTGTTTTTTTTTATCAAAACAAAACAAATCAATTTAATTTTTTGTTTGCTTTTTTTCGTTAGATTTTATTTCTTTTTTGATTTGTAGCAGTTTAAGTTATTTATATAATAATAATAATTATAATAGTTATTATTGCATTTTAAATGGCTTAAAAAATATACACATTCATCATTGTTTTCATTTCTATAAATTAATTGTTTTTTCTTTTTTTTTAATAAAAAAATTTCACTAGTTTTTAACTTAAATATTAATTATTTCACACGTCCATTATTTCTTCTGAACATTCTTGGCTTTCGTTTTCATCTCGTCTCTATCATAAAACTTATAGGCTAATCAATGAGAGTGGCTCTGTTGTTGTCTATATGTATATGTATATTATGTGTCTGTATGATGTATGTGTGGATGGCTATATATATTTATGTTTGTTTTTTAATTAACTTAAAATATTCTAACATTAAAATACTATTTACATTTTGTGGTCTGATCCAGCAGCTTCTTCCACAAATCGAATTGTTCATTTGCCTTAATCATATGCACGGATATTGATTTTCGTATATTACAAGGATTAAAGGCTATACGTCGATTAAGGAATTCATTGACATGGACACGTTTAATGCCCAACTGTTGGGCCACAATGCCCGTCGTAAAGACATCTTCCAATTTCAAATAGACCTGATGCAACGATCTCACATACAGCTCATGGACAATATCACTTGTCAGCACATAGGCTGGACCGGTGGTGAAGGGGGGAAACACGGCGGCACTAAATTGTCCCGTCGAAATGTAATATTTCGATTTCTTATTCCGTATGGGTTTCCATTTCTTGGCCAATCGACCGTATATGACCCGTTTATCTTTCGAATGCGAATCCAAGAATTGCAATAGTTTGGGCACGTTAATGAACATATCGTCATCGGTTTTCAGTATGTATTTCGCCTTGGGACAATGATTGTCGACCCACTCCAGTGATGACAACGTTTTCAGTGTTAAATTATTATATGAATCAATGAAGTGACCACGTATCAGGTCACCATAAATCATATTCTCTTGGGTGAGGGCTTCGTTGATGGTGGCGTTGGTGGTGCGACCCAATATAAAAGCGGTGGAAACATCACGACGTGTACCAAAATGACCCCATGTCTGTCGTATGGCCAGTCGTGCCTCGGTGTGGGTCTGGGCTGATGTTATGAGTATTAGCAGCTTCAATTTGTCACCCTTGTTGGGGCAAATTTGTTCAATATCGATTTCTTCGTTCATGTGACCCGGTTCGTAGATCTGTTGTGTGGGTATACCTTGTGTTGGATCGGATGTATGTGCTGGTTGCTTTGGTGTTACAACTGCTTGTTGTGGAGGTCCTGCTACGGCAGATGATGATGATGATGCTGCCGCCGATGCGTGTGGTGGTTGTTTGGATGCTTCAGTTTTTTGCGATTGTTGTGGTGGTGAAGGTGGTGCTTTTGGAGTCTCATTTTTGTTGCTGTTATTATTATTTTTAGTTAAACTGCTTAGAATATCGCCAGTAGAACCGGCACCACCACCTTTAATTGTCATTATAACAGAGGGCTGCTGTGCCTCATCATTATCATCGAGTAGTTCATTATCCTCATTATTTGGATCCAATGGTAGATAATATTTATCAGGGGCTAAAAGGAAAACAAAAAAAAATTATTTTATTTATTAGAATAAAATTAATTGGGAGGCGGAGCTTTAACATATAAAAATATGTATGGCCATTCGAAGTTAACTGAGAAATTTGGCTAAAAACTTAAAAAAAAATATCCTAATAGGACATTGGGGAAGTTTCAATTGTGCCTCGCTCTTAAATAGAAGAGGAAACTTTGAAACGTATTGGAATTGATTTTGAATAGAAAGGACGTAAGAAAAGGGATTGCATTGCGTTAGCATATGTTGTTTGTCTATTGCGGCCAATATTAGGGACGGTAAAAATACTTAAATGTAATGCTAAATATCGAAATATAATATATTTGGGTCCAAATTCAGGCATCAACATATTCTCAGGGGGAAACATCATGTTGCTGTGTTGTAGATTTGGTTAAGGCAATAATCGATCGACTGATTGCTTCAATTTTTAAAAGAAACCAAAAAAAATTGGTTTCTGATGCAATTGACACCTGTTAGGAAAAATGAACATACCGGAATGGCGCAGTAAAGAATTATGTCAAATTATACGAGGGCTATATATTGTTGATTTAGGAAAAAAATTATGTGGCGCCATCTGATATTTCCATTGGAAGGTTAGACATTTTTTCATTAACGTACGCGTGAGATAGGGATATTCTTGAGCATTTCTACCATCAGTATACATTTGATATTTCTGAGTGATCCACGACAAATGGCCTGTAGTCTTCGGAGAAATTTGAAAAACGAAAAATGTGAAAGTAAAAGTCTTGTTGACGACAATGGAAAACTTATTCCTAATGTAACGACACAGCCAAGTAATGAGAGTTGGTGAATGGAATTAAATGGGCCCCTGAAATAGCATGTAAGGCCCAAATGTGATGTTGTTGTGAAAAACATCAAGCACGTTAGAAGATATTCTAATTCGACGATTTGACAAAACAATCGCTCATGGCAAAACGAACATCACACCAAGCCAAATTTGGTGGCTTTAACAGTAAGCTGAAATTGTCGCCACCAAACATTAAATTTTTAGGTCACTTCGTTCTCAAGTGGCCGCCCTAATAAAGGGTTTCCAATATGACTACTCCAAATCAAGGTGATTCCTTCCCGACAATTAGAGAGAGTCCAATATCTGGCGAAAATCAAGATACCAACTCCATCTCCACCTTCCCATCGAAAAGATGTGTGAACAAACGCGTCAATGCCAATAAGATCTCTGACAAGAAGATTTACCGGATATCAGTTAAATTCAGCAACCGGTTTATCGTACGGGACAGGGACTCGCTGACAAGGAATTTCTTCTGATTAAGAAGAATCTCAAATTCATTCGAAAGTTCTCACGGAACTATCCCATTGACATTGCGAGTGACTTCTTAATTGAACGAATTTCGTTTGAAATAATCCACAGTAGCCCCTCTAAAGCAAGAGAAGTCTGTGAGTAGTCGGAGCACAACTAGGAATTTCTACGTCTCGTTTGAAGTCAACCTCTAAAGGAAGGGAAGTCCGTAAGTAGTCCAAGCACAACTAAGACGATGATGGCTGGAATTTCTAATCTCTCAGCACCCTCCAAGGGATCTCTGTGTTTTGAGACGTCCCTGACACCATCCTCCAGTGGGATGGAATGCAAAATAGTATCGAAGTCGGTCCCAGGTAGAGCCCGAAAAAGGCAGATAAAACACAAACTCCCTCTGGGGAAATCATCAAACCAGCCAGTCCGCAATCTGCAATCCAAATTAAGATTTATGACAATTGATCGTTTATTGATTGATCAGGATTAAAAGAAATAATCCCCTCAACTGAATTATTTTATGGCAAGACAATATTATCTCTTTAAATTTTGTAAAAACATAAATTCATTTAGATCCCATTATATGATATTTTAAATAAAAAACAAATTATTATTAAATCACCGATGTTATTAACTTCTACGATTCCAAGAAATGAATCTGACGACTAAATTCCCCTAAAGCGAAAAAGAAACAAAAATATTCCATAACTTATCGCAATAATGCTGATGGGACACGATTGCCGCAATATAACATTTCACTTATGAACAAAGAAAAAAGAAGGTGGCAATCCATAACAACAATAGAATAATCCTCAGAGGCAACCCACCCCTCCACCATAATATGCCTTTAATTTGTTTCCCTTAAGATTTGACTTTTTTGTTGTTTTCATTATTTGACTTAGACGACTAGCTGGCTAGTTTCTTTTTTATCTAACATTTTGTCCAAAAAATTCTATTGTTATTGTGGTTGTGGGTGATTGTTTTTTTTATTTTTGTTGTTGTTATGGTGCCTTGTCCGTAGACGTCATAATATAGCAGCAGTCTGTAGAATGCAGATTGTTGTTGACTTTTGAGGCATAATAAATTTATTTTGACTTCCGTTTTTTATTCCGCACTCCCTAAATACACGACGTACACATGTACATACATCATTCTATGGCATAATTATTTTAGAGTTTGTTTTTGTTTAATCAGTAAGAAAATTTAAGATATTATTAGGCTTTACTGCTGTATGGTGGTCTTGTTTGTATTTGAAATAATGCTGTCATGATAAGCAATTTGACGTGGAAAATACAATTATGTACTATATGTTTAAAGGCATTTAAATTTTGCCCATAAAATTCTTTCAAGAAATGAAAACAATTCTTTGAAATATGTTTATGGAGATCAAAATACGTCTTCTACGAAAGTAACACCTGTTGAATGTCTTTGATAACACTTGGTGGTATATAGTTTTGAGATTAATGCGAAACAGAGCTATTACGTTGGACTTCCAACTAAGATTTGTTGGTTGGCTTTATTGAAGCTGAAGAAAATTTACAATAAAGGTCTAGGAATTGACATACAGTGAGTGTGATAACTATTTTGCCTCAATACGAATTTAACAAAATTACAGCATATATGTCAAAAGCCAGCATACTAATGATGTAAATTGCATTATGTGCGATGGAATATGTTTGTGGATATGTTTAGATCTTATTTCTGCAAGAATAACTGCGAAAGACGTATTGGTCTCGAAGATATCGGCTAAAATATATAACAACCCAAAAATGTTTATCACAAAAAAGTATTTTGCTTTTTATTGTTTTATTAGAAAAAATCATTACAGCTCGCATGTTTGGCCCTTCTTTAACTATCATTAGGGATAACCATATATTATAAGCGATTCGGTGACGATTCCAACAAACCGCGGAATTTTGTCGAGAGAAGTTTCTCACATTTAACTTCAAATTTAGTCATTTCTCGTCCTAATATCAAAATAAGAGTATAAAATATAGTCGTGGCGGCTTCAAGACATCCAAAAAATGTTTAGAGTTATAAAAAGAAGGGTTTGCAAAATATAACGCGAGAACAGGACGTTCAGAACTATTAAAGCCAAAATTCGACAAACAAATTTTTTCTAATAAAATAATAAAAAGCAAAATACTTTTTTGTGATAAACATTTTTGGGTTGTATAGATTTCGCAATGATTCTTGCAGAAATAAGATATAAATATGTCCACAAACATATTCCATCGCACATAATTCAATTTACATCATTAGTATGCTGGCTTTTGACATATATATTGTAATTTTGTTAAATTCGTATTGAGGCAAAATACTTATTACACTCACTGTACGTATATAAATAAATTTCCTCATAATTTATCTTACATTTTCTTTATCTTACATTTTCAATTGCAACAATATTTCACTTTCTCTCCCACCCTCTTTTACTTTTATTACAATAAAAACTTACATTTATTTATGGCATCTACATTGGCCATCACCGGATGCTGACTTGAGATATTTTTCAATATTTTATCGGCACTCTCTATGAATTTTTGCAGATTTGATGTTGGTATCAGAACATCAGAATCGGATATTTTATTTTGTTGTTGTTGCGCTTTTTGAACTTCAGGTGATTGCTGCTGTTTGTTATCTACTGCTGCTGCTCCCCCTGTACCAGTACCGGCTGATGCTATGGAATTGTTGATATTAACTGAAATGGATTATAAAAAATATATATGTATATGAATATATGAGATATCAAATAATAAATATAAATATAAAATTTTAATTAAATTCTAATTGTCCTAGAAACGTATTTTAAAAATGTTTAAAAAATTCAATGACAATGAAAGTAGATTTTTAATGTTTTTAATTTCTAGATAGTTTATTTGTGAAGAATATTTTTCAATGTTTATTTTTGATTTCAAGATTTTTTTTAAAATATAAAATAAAATATAAATATATTTTTATGCAAGAATATTTTGTTCAAGGATTTTAAGAATGAAGCAATTTTTAATAGGACTGATTTTTTTAAATATTCCAAAGTGTGAATTTTTAAAACATTTTTTTCTATGATTTCTCAAAGTGTTTTTTTTTTTTTTTGAATTTTCAAAGCTTGAATTTTAATGAATATATATTGTGTAATAATCCTTGATCCAGGCAAAACTAATTGATGCCTGGCTCCATTCGAAATTTCTGGTGGAATGTTTGACATTTTTGGCAGGTGGCTGTCAAAGGGAGTTAACTAGTGAATATTTCGTAGATTATCACGACAAAATTGTATGGTTAGGAGAAACTAGGACACTACGACAGGTTTTATAAATTTGATAGCTGCTTGACGATGGTATTTGTACCACAGAATATTGATAACGTACAATTTGACAATCGCTAAACAAAAAAATTCGATTCAGTTGTTGACGAAACACAGATCTATGCTTATGAGTCCAAAACAAAACAGGAATCAACCGTGTAGGTCATCGAAACCGAGCCAAAACCAAAAAAAATTCCTTCGTGGAATCAAACGGACGGCAAAACTGGCCCTGTGGCTACTGTTTCGCTTGAGCAAAGAATCACGACCAATTATGTTTGGTACTCCAAAATTAAATTCTTTGAAGTATTCGAAGAAATACGAAAAAACGAACAGGAGAAAACAAATTATTGTGCACCATGACAATGTGAGCTCTTACACATGGGCTCAAATCAGATCCTTTTTGATTAACCACCGATTTTCGTCGCCTCCAGCGTTCAAAAACCCCATTATGGAGGTGCCTCAATCGAAGTGGAAAAAGCGCTTCGTAAATTTAGTTTGAGCGCAAGAAATGAATTGCACAAATTCTGACAAAGAATTTCGAGAAGTTTAAGTGTGAGAAATTTCGATTAGAATTATTTTCATATTATGGATCCTATTTCACGTAAAAGGTAGCCATCTAGGGAAAAGTAGCAGCTGGAATAATGATTCCAAAGTTGACGTTGAAATCTCGACGTATGGAAGAAAGGACTTGAGTAAAAACGACCTACCAACAAGTTGCGAATAATTGTAACCATCTCCCAATGGCTTCAAGCCAACTTCACTGAGTCTCTCACAAGATCTCTAAGTTTAAATATATATATATATATATATATATTGGTCTGTTCCAGAACCTGCATGAATGTAAAATTTTTTACTAGGATAACAATTTCTCCTTTATGATAACGAAGAAAATTTCAAAAAATTAGTAGATTCTTACTGTACGGGAACAGACCACATGTATACCCTATTTATTATAAGATAATACGTTTTCAATTCCAATCCAAAAAATAGCTGTTAAACTTACCCAAATTATTATCGACAGCTTGAACATATTGTTCCTCCTGTAGCAGATCATTGTTTTGATTATTAAAATGATCCAAGGCAGTATCATCACCACCTATACCGCCGCCAACACCAAGGGTCAAATCATCGACGCCCGCTCCAGCACCACCAGCATCTCCTCCAGAAGCAGTGCCGGCGCCATCAGTACCTGCACCTGGATTACCATCACCATCTATAGCATTTTCATCAATGGTGGGCACACGATGATGTGGTAATTTTTTAATGACAATCTGATCATTGCCATGACTGGCAGATGGTAAATTTTCATAACGTATAAATGATGGAGCAGCCCTGTTGTTCTTGACATTGGCACTGGCCGGTTCCAAGACATCAACAATGTTGTTGCTGATGCCACTGTCTCCACCGCCGCTTGCAATACTGCTGATGCTGTTGCTTTTATTCGCCATTGAAAAGGCCATCAGTGAGGAGGCCATTGCAGCGCTATTGCGCATGGGCGGCGGCGCCAGTGTCTGTGTTGATGAATATGAGGCATAGATGAATATGGTTAGAACAACAATGGATACAACAAGTAGAAAACGCAATAAACGAGTATTGTGCATATTGCTGGCCATGGCAAGAGTATTGGCTTTAACTATAACTTCGTCCCCGGCCCCTCTTTGGGTGAGTGAGTGAGTATAACTGTAACTGGTAATATTAGCAGCCAAGCTGTGATGTGAATGTTGACGACAATGCTGCTGCTGTCGACTTTGTCGGCAGTTGTCGCTGCATCAGTACGACGAAGAACGAGATGAGCAGGTGTTATGTGTGGCTGTATGTTGTTGGTTAAGGACAAATTGAAGATTTATGATGATGTTTCCTTCTCCTCTCTCTCACACACACACACACCTCCTAGTAGTAATCTGGGTTTTTTGGTTCCCGTTTAGTAGATACTTCTTCTTCTTTTCAGGTTCTATACTTTTTGACAGGTTATTTCGCCGTTGTTGTTGTTGCGTTTGCTACTGTCTTGTCTTGTTTTGTTATAGCCAAAACAAGCGATTTAGTATTTTTTTTATTATTATTCGGACAACAAACAAGTTACACGCGCAAAAATCTTTTATTATATCATCGAATTTGCAAAGCGTCTAAAGCAATAGAGAATCGCGGTGGATCGCTCAGGGTGGTGGTTGGTTGGTTGGAGGTAAAACTGGAATGCTTGCTTTGTGTTTTGCAGTTGGACTAATGACTAGTTACGTCGTCGTCTTCGTCGTCGTGGTGGTTGGCCTTACGTCGTTGCTATGTGATGCTTGCTTGTCTGACTGTTTGTCTGCCTTCCAAATTTGTTGTTGTTGCTATTGTTGTAGTTGCTTGGCTTGATAATGGTCTTTGCTTTTCTTTTTATATTTTCAGAGTCTTTCTTTGCGTTTTGTTGGGGATGGATGGTGGTAATCTTGTTTTAATAATAAGAGTATATTGTTATTGCATTTGAATCGTTGTACATAATGTTGTTGTTGTTGCTGGTTTGTTTTTTTGTTGCTAATTTCTTATTTGGAGTAAAGAGCTGTTTAAAATTTTGCCCAGTTAGTTTACTCTCAATATCAGCCAAGCGTATTTTGGATATTTGTTTCTTTCTAAGACTATATTTGTTGCTGTTTTTGTTGTAGTTACTTGTTGTTGGTTTTTTGTATGGTGGATCTAGTTGAATAAGCTGCGCATGCTCAGTCTCATGGGTTTTAATATTTTGTTTTTTTTTCTAGTATTTTTTTGTTTGGTTGTGTTTTCTTTTGTATTTTTTTTTTTTTTGGAATATGGCCGTGTTGTTGTCGTCACACAATTCGTCGTTTTCTTTTTCTTCTGCCTCGTAAGATTTTATCAGACACAGTTGGTTGATTTCATTTGCATATTTTTATGTTAGTTCCTCCTGCAATAAAAAAAACAAAACAATGCAAAAAACATTATTAGAGGGTTTGTATTTGTATTTTTATTGTAAAAGCGGTAATTTTATTCTATCCAAGATAAAATTTCGGACTACCAAAAAACAAAAATTTTGATGTATTGTATTTTAGATCCGTCGGTAGATTTTCGCTGAAGAAAAAATCTTCAGATATCGAAGATATATAAAAATTCTACTGAGGAAGGACACATTTGTTCTATAGAAAAAACCTCGATAACGAAAACAAAACATTATTTTAAAGAGCGTGATGAGCTTCGTAGTACAGCAATTGAAAAAAAACTCAGAACGGATTTTTTATAGAAATAAAAATAATCAATCGAACTAATATTTTTTTCAGAAAAAATCCTTAGAACTAACGGACATTTTTGTAGAATTAAAAAATCCGCAGTTCCTAAAATAAATTTTTGTTATATACAAATTCTCAGAAAGAATTACATTACAAACTTTTATGGAATAAAAAATCCGCAGTTTCTAAAGCATATTTTTGCTATACACAAAGAATGACAGATTTATTTCTACAGAAAACCTTTTTTGTGAGTGTAATGAGCTTCTTTATACGGTAATAAGCGGGAAATGAGAATTGTGAGCATTAGTTAGGTCACTCTCATGTTTGAAACGTTGAATAATCAATTATATGTGTGGTCTCCATTCATTAGAGTGAAGCAGGGAGTTCGTTACAGAGGGGACATATCTCCGGAACTGTTTAATTTTTATTTTTTCGAGATTCCACAACCTCCGGATGATATAGAGATCGTAATATATGCGAATGATGAGATTCCACAACCTCAGGATGATATAGAGATCGTAATATATGCGGATGATTTTACGATTATGGCGTCGGGCCAATTATCGATAACACATTAGGCCGGTTGTCGAAAATGTTGATAAAATCGGAGAAATGATCGAAGTTGACCGGCATGTTAGCAGTCGTAGCATCGCCCAGGAGCTAAAAATCGACCATAATACTGTTTTAAATCGACCATAAAACTGTTTACACAATGCTGGATTCAAAAAGATCGATGCTTGGGATGGATCGAATTACCATCTGTGAAGCTTTTTTCAAACGGAATGAGGTAGACCCTTTTCTTAAACGGATGGTGACTGGAGATGAGAAATTGATCACATATGAAAACCCCGTGCGATCGTGGTCAAAAAGCGGTAAAGCACCTCAAACGTTGGAAGGTTCTGCTACCAAATGCAGGTGGGACTGGAAGGGGATAATTTATTATTAGTTGCTTCCATATGGCCAAACGCTAAATTGTGACCCTTACTATCAACAACTGGATAGTTTGACCATAAACGGCCGGAATTGGCCAACAGGAGAGGTGTCGTGTCCCACCAGGACGCTAGGCCAAACACTTCTACAGTGATTCGCCACAAATTTCGGGAGCTTGGTTGGAAAGTTTTAATGCACCTGCCATGCAGTCCGGACTTGGCGATTATCACCTTTTTCTTGCATTGCAAAATTTCTTTAATGATCAAAATTGGAGGATTGAGGATTGAGAAAATCGACTACTATAGTTTTTTTTTTGCAAATACAGAGCAGGGCTTCTACGAGAGAGTCATTATGATGCTGCCTTTAAAATGGCAACAAATCAAATCAATTTTTTTCTACCAACATTTTCAAGAAAGAACTTCCATCAACAGCCAACCTGTTACAACAAAACGGTGCATATTTGCATTTTAAATAATGTTCTGTAGTTCATATAAAAATAATGGATTTCTTTTTCCCCAATCTAATACATGAATGGGTTAATGTCGATATATAGCTGACGTTTCTTCCATCTGTGGAATATGAAGATATCCGTCGCCAAATCCACAGGCACTCTGCAGAAATGAAGATTTCATTGAGATCCATAGATTCGCTTGCCGGCTGCTCTGGGGATGTTGATGAAAAAAAGAAGGTAACCTCTTACAAAATAAATACGTCGGACAGTGCATACACGCAGCCGGTTTGGTGTGCAGTGTATGCGATACCAAGTTCAAAAGTCTTCAAGCCTGTCAGAATTCCGACTTGAGAACTGCGACAAGGCAACACAGGATATTGTCGATGCAGTACCTGATTCAATTATAGAAAAAAAACCTTTGATTTTAAGTAGAGATTTTTCCTTAGAAAAAAATGTCCTCAAATAAAGATTTTTCTCTACAACAAAAACAATATCTCAGTTTTGAAAACTGATTTTTATTGCAAAATATTTTCTATTTTGAAAACAAACCTATTTCCCTATAGAATTAAATATCTCCGGCCGGAGAACAGACTTTTCCAATAGAAAACAATACCACAGTCCAGAGGACATACGTTTTCAATGGTAAAAATCTTCTGTTCCGAATACAGGTTTTTCTATAAAGATTTTTTAGATTGTTTTCAATCTCAAAGACAATTTCGGCGTTTCGTTTAAAAACTGACGCTTATATTTTTCAAGGTCAATGACGCATTTTTTTGTTCAACATTGAATATTCAAAAAAAAGTTGAAGTTCATTTACCCTGCATTCTCATTTATGAATTAATTTGGATAAGCCACAAGATAATATAATTAGACAAAATGTACTCCTGGATTTGTTTTCTTTGAAATTAAATAAAAAATTAAAAAACGACTCACTTAACAACACAACTTCCCCAAAATCTTTACGATGATGTTGATAAGATGCCGATGAATAGCTGCCACTAATTATCATCATCATCCTCCACATTGACAACAACATCAATAGCCAGCCATCCAGCCATTGTCCAAGTACATGTACAAGTATTGTGTAGTTATAGTCAGTCAAGTCATTCCGTTAGTACTTAAGGCGCCTCATGAAGATGCCTCATCAACTGTGTGACCTTGAGGTGTCTATCCGATGTGATGTGATTTTGTTTTTCGTCAGTCACATAGATTTACACCCAACCAAGATAGAAGGTCATTTTACTTCCATCATCATTTTTTTTATATTCGTAGGTATGAACACGAGTCCAGTAAAATGTGTTAAAATTGGCGTTTTTTTTTTTTTTGAATATTAGGATGCTTCGCGTAAAAAACAGATAAAGCTAAGTCGTTGGAAAAATTATTGCAACTACATTCTTTACAAAAATCCCTACTCTAAATATTCTTTTGCAAATGTTACTAATAACGAAAAATTGGAATATTTTCAACTATTCTCTAGCATGATTTGTACATTTGTTCATGCGCTCAAACCAATTTTCGAAGCCCTTTTCTACTCTGTTTAAACATTTTCTGGTGATGTAAATTTTGCACCATGATTTCATGATTTTATGATGTGATGGAAAATAAAGAGAATTCAGTGGGTGCCAAGTCAGGGCTGTACGGTATATGAGTCTTTAATAAAAGCTTGTGTAAGAATTGCCCAGGGATACATCTACTTCACGGAATGTCACACGACGTATTCAATGGCACATCGGCCATTTTCAGACGAAAGTCGTCTTTGAGCGATAATTGACCGTGATTGAACTCATTAAGTTCATCGATGCACTTTTGTGAGAAATAATCTCGAAAGTATTTAAAAATGAGGCCATGATGTTCGCTCTGGTGCTATTATATTCATTACTTAAATGGCATGAGGGTGCAAAAGGACTGAAAGACTTCGGAAAGTATTCAGAATCATTACAAACATAGGGAGAGCAATATTGCGGGTTCTGTTATGGTGTTATACTCCCCGAATATTTAAATGAATGAACTGAAAGACTCGGAAAATA